CTTTGATGGATAATTCGGAGGAATATAGCCCAGTTATACGTCAGGAAGGTATAATTCGCAGTGCTTATGCATTTGGTGGAATCCAAGATAGGGAATTACTATATTGGGCAGCCGAAAAAAAGTTCGATCCATTCTCATTATTTTGTAGAAACCCGGTAAGGTTTCATAACAGACCTCTGACATCAACTAGCTCCTCGTTAATTACCTGCAAATGAATACAACCTGCCCATCGCGTCATCATGACATCGAGCCTGAGATCCGATGATAGCCGACTAGAGGAGGCTAGTGAACTAACTAAAAACCGATAAGCTGATCATAGATTCCGAGTCGAATTCGTCATCGAGGTAGTTCGCATTCGCCGGAAACTCCACGGAAGGAGAACCAGACAGGGTCCAGCCTAGGTCTAGGATAGAGATATTCATCCATGAGTTTGGCGGTGAGCTAAGACGGATTAGCAAGAGTCAGCTGTTGAGAAGAGAAAGAGAAATGAATTACGAAAAATTGTAAGGCTGGGAAGGTACAACAATCATCGACACAGCCACTGATTGCTCCTTCCTGGTTTCAACGAATGTGGTCAAGCCGTTGCGAAGTTTCATCGAGGTGGACTAGTATTCTTTATTACTATTCTATCCATCAAGCAAAAATTGTATGGTCTAGACGAGGTACTGGGATCCCTGGTCTATCCAATCCAGCCGCTGCGATTTATCACTAGCCTCTTTGAAGTTGGAACATGCATCCAGCGCAGGCCTAGACGCCTAGGCTCAAGTCCAAGCCCCACGGGGGAGTTATCATCTTCTCATGGAGTCCATCTGAACCGCAAACAAGTACGTATTTCTGCGTCACTTTTCGCCTTGATGACGATCAGAATTTCACGACCAAATATAAATATTTCTATGAGAGACAGCTTCCAAATCCTTTGTTTCGCACGTCGTTTAATTTCAAGTCACTGTCCATCCAAGCAGTGGTCTGGTCCCAGCATTTCTTCTGTTCTAGATACTCAGCGGGATGCCACGCGCGATGCAGTAACACTAGATTGCTGGTAACCATGCTTCAATGGCCGGCCGGTTACTTCTGGGGTATAGCCTTTGCACGGTTTATTGAAAACGTTTTGTCTGAGTCCCACGCGACCGCTACATACACACTGCCGCCCAGGTTCAGCCCGACACCATCGTCGCCGAACCAATTGAATGTATCACTTACCTTTACTCCGGTTTCACACCACCCAAAAAAGTTCCCATTTTCCTTGGCTTTTTTTTTCCTGAGTCGCGCGGAGCCTAGTACCTACACCTGTTATGGAAAAAAGGCGGGAGATATCTGGATTTTCAATTTGAATTTGGTCGAGGAACGGGTTCGCACCCCACAAGCCGCGTGTTGGATGCATATAGGCAGCTGAGGTGCGCCGAGTCGAATCTAGGCGTATAATTTCGATTTTGTCCGTAATTGTTGTCCTATGAACGTACTCAGGTCTGATGCGAATTAAACTGAAGTGTTGTGTCGGGCTGATATGACCCAACAGAGTACCTTGGCGAGAGTAAAAAGGTAGCAATTTCCCTCCTTCTATCTTGTTGCGACTACAACTTCAACTGAGTTGCTGATTACCAATGTGAATATCTTATAATGCAACGTCCAGGTCCATCTTGACCTCAGAACTGGATTTGAAAATGACGACTTGGGTTCATTTCACGAGGACTGGCCGGTGCTAAAGTGGCCGTCTCAAAGGTCATGCGCGTCTCTGCTCTGACCACCAAGCGGCCGTACGTATGGAACCTACTCCGCACGATTCTCCAAAGTATTCAGTAATTTCGGATCTCGACGAGACATTTTAGCCACAGAACGATCCGAAATAGTAGTCTCAGGAATAGCTACGTGAACGGTGGAGACTGCAGCGGAGAATACATACTGAATAAAGTCACAGACACCGCCATCCCGGACCGCCAGGATTAGCACGAGGAACAGGAGTGACGCCGGAGCTCCTAAAACGGGTAGAGACGGGCGAGATCGGGATGACGCCCAATAGGATGGCAGAACACTCTCAGTCACTTTGTTTTACTCCTGTGCCTTCACAGCCGTTTCCAGACTCGCTGTCTCGTCCTCTGCTTCACCTGAAGAACCGCTGTCGCCGTTGTCTTTCACCACTACCATCCATCATCACCACCAGAAATGTCGAGCCACTGCAGACGAGGATGTCTCAAGTCGCCCATGTCGAGTCCAGGCCTGGATGTCGGTCATTCACGGAAATGTGTAGCCTTTTGCGATGCTGGGAGTGAAGAGGTGCATATAGCGGATGAATGGGATAGGACGCCTTCGGAGCCTGCTCGTAGTCTGTCATACCAGTGAGTGGTCGTACGACATGTCGTGGACGACCAACAATACCGTTCACCGCCATGTCGCTCGTTGTCGGCGCCTCGTACTGACATTCTACCAAGGGACATGCTGGAGCTCAAGGCCATTCAACGGACACTGCCAAGAGCAAATCAATTGCCTGATATGTACACTGGCAAACCCGCGTCGCAATTCTTGTCAAAAGTCCCAATAGGCCTTTTGCCTCTACTTCCAACCAGCGAATCACCACAAACTAGCTCTTCATCTCCGACATACACACGGCAGCCGTCCGCGCAACGGACTTCATATTTTCCACCGTCAAGTCCTCCACCCAATAAAGCAAAGAGATTTGCTTTTTTGCCTTTACTAGAAACTCCACAGACATCTCCACGTTCACCGCCATCTCCAGCTCCTCCTACCAACACCGGTCATGCGCCATTTTTCCATGTACCACCGTCGAATCGAAATAATGCACCCCCGGACCGAAACCCTGCTATGAAGGCCTTTAAGCTAGAGGCCGTAGCTTCTCCCGGGCTTCCTCCACCTTCTCCGCTATCCCTAGATTCTCCTCACGCCTCGAGCTCGAGAAATGCCCCAGTCAACAACAACCTACTTGGTTCGGCGAAGCCTATTCGTCGCCGAAATGTCATGTACATCAATGGCCAGGAAATCGATTTGGACGAAGAGGAAGACGAGCAGCCGCAGACAACTGCTGCCGAAGAGACTATCCGTCCAGAATTAGTCTCTTGTTCCTTTCGTTCCCGCCGCTCGCGATCGATATCCGAGGTTTCATTGAAACAAGAGAAGTTTTCGCCTTCACCACCTATACCCATTGTAGCCCCCATACCCACACCCCAGAAAGCTCCGTCACCCTCGAGCTCGCCCATATCATTATCACCGCTTAAGATTCACTCTTCCTCCCCTGCACAATCACGTTCGTCCGTCCGCTCTCCGCCCACGACAAACTCGTTCGCACCTATAAAGGTCGTTCGAGCTACGAGGGACAATACGAATCCAAGTAACCTCGTATCGCTATCGTCGTCGTGGCGCAGGTCTCCAAGCCCGCGGACGAGTCCAGTACTGGTTCCTCTTGCTTAAGGTTCCAAAGAGACTCTGTTGTTAGAAACATGACTCTTTTTACTCTATTATCGTGTATTGTCGCAGTGCTTTTTCCCACCCGCTATCATATCTTGTACATATCATAGACTATATACATGTGTTCTTGTTTCCTTACTCCAAGGCTTGCTTAGGCGTGCTTATGGGTACGCCGCTACCTGCGGCTAGTGACGCTGACATGGAGTGGGCGGTCATTGCCAAAAACGGTCTGTCATCAGTTTTGATTTTCACGTTGATTGACAGCGCTCTAACCTTTTTAATAATAGCCTAGCGTTTTCTCGGGCCTGAACCTGATTTGACATGCCTCTCGGTGTCGAACACGAATTTTACTTCTGGTGAGAAAAAGTGTTATCGCCGGCATTTAAATAAAAAACATTACACAGAGTTCGTCATATGTTATCGTCATTGCTTCGACTTGGTACTCACGAAGAGAACGGACTCGGACGGCATTTGCGTGTTTGTCCAGGCCAACTCACCGCCTGACCTGAGAGCCAATCAATAGGTTGCTGATGGGTGGACACTGGCACCGCACCCGATACCCACGGCGGTACTCAGGCTCAGGGCTAGAGGACTCTCTTGAGGCTGACGCAATTTCCGCTGCCTCTGAAAAAAAAAAAAACAAGGCATGAGGCGGAATTTTCTTCTCTTTTTACTCTCGTTCGGTGCAAGTAAAGAGATATGATCCTGGGGTTTTCCGAGGCTGAATAATATGCCCTCAGTAAATCCTCGACGCTGCTTGTACGGTCAGTCTTGTCGACTCCTTCTCAGAACCAGTAATTCTATTTGATAGAACGACGGTCCTCTATCCGCGGATAGGCAGGTCAATCGCCGAAATATAATTGGCGGCGTGGCGACTAGACGAATCTATTTGCATGCTTCAAACATGCTCTCAGGCCTGGCCTGTTATCATGACTTGGGTACGAGGCCCTCTCGGCATGCTTGAGAAGATAACCACGGTCGGATAATAGGTCTTCATATGGCCAAAAATACGCGTCTGGTCTTTGAGATCGCCTGATTCAGCGGCCACAAGGGAAGAAGCAATGGCATTAGAAGAGAATGTGGCGCGTTGTGTGGTTTCAGGTTCACTGTCAGCCGTCGAATCAGTATTTGTGCTGATGCAAATCCCGGGTTGGTCGTGGGGTGGCTGATAATACTGACTTGTGGCTGGAAGAAGGAATCGAGGGGTAATAATGGGACCTCTGCCTTCCGTACTGCTATCAATGCTGAGACGCAGTAAGAGTCAAAAGCGGCCATACTTCTGACCTTGACACGTGCACTACGGCGAATAACAGCTCTGACGAAACACACAGAACTGGAAGAGGAGCTTAATTCAAGACGATCAATATAATTCCCGACGACTGTCAGTTATCTTTGTTGACCTTCTTAGGTTTGTTTACTCTGTTTGACTGAGCTTCGACGTTAGTGTTGAGTGACGCTCGCTCTCGGAGGTGTCCTCTCGGAGCTTGTCTGTATGCGGGATCGCTGGAAGTGAAGCGGTAATAGCACGTTTGCTTGACATGCCTCTTCTTTGCAGACGTGATCTGCTTCGGGCGCAGGAAATTGAGGGAATTCCATGCATACGGTGTCTATCAGATACCTATATACTCAAGGAAGCGTTTGATCAGTATGCAACGCTACTGGAATATCAGAGTCCTAATCATAGCCAAGTTTATATGTCCAAGTTTATTCCACCTCTGTTTCGACATTGCCTTCCACAAAATACGAACGGTCTGGTAATAAAAATCATTAGAGCTAGGCGGGATAACGAGAAGAAGTTGGAAGAGCTAGTAAACCAGATAGGGGAGTATGATTTGCCACGCAAATAAGACGGCTCGAAACGGTGCTAGAAAGAAAAACCGAACGTAACCCGCATCACTCTATTAGCCCATTAAATGCTCTTTCAGTGCCGATCTCGAGCTCGTCTACTCGGTCTGGATGAGCGTCTTGGTCGTTGTCGAGAATATAGTTTGCCATGGAATTCTCCTGGGCGCTATCTGAGAACCGGCTTGTGGGTGCGCTTCGAAGCGAAGCGATGATATGATGCTGCCCTTCCAGGTTTCATCTGGACGAGCATGACCTGCTGCTACACGTCCGGCGAGAAGAGTTGGAGCAATTCCCTGTGTGATGTTTCTGTCAATATATGTATTAAGGAAAGAGTAGACCAGTGCGAACTGTTGTGATTTCAGCAAGAATGTCAAAGTAACCGCTCGTCCAGTTATAAATCGCTTTCAAGATGATGTATATGATCAAAGTCAGAGTGTAGAGAGCCGAGGACTCAATGAAGACTTCAATGACATGGCGATACTCTCCAAGCCCACCACCCTCTCTTCTTTGTGCCCGTATCACGATTAGGGTCCGAAGAACAATGAAACGGTGCACCATAGAGTCGTAGCAATAATGCAGGATATGTAAATCACTACGGGATTGTCGAATGGATCCCAGGAGGGGGAATCTCCGGTGATATCAAAGATTTTGAAACCTGTACAAGTTATCGGCTGTCAATGGATATATGCAAGCAGCAGTATCGGGCATCGCACTCTCCAGAGAAGCAAGACAAAGGATCGGAAATGGAACGACGAGCCAACGTCGCCCCCAAACCATCCAGCAACGCCAAATCTAGAGTTTTCATAACACTAGGTTGGTATCGATCTTGCCACAAATGTTGCACATACCATGGTGCAGTCTGCAAGGACAGTGCCCATAACGGCCGTGACACCGATCCCTATGTCGAACCCCCCAACAACCTCAAGCCAGAGAATTTTATCGAAAATTTCTGTCAAGAGTACTAAACGACTAAGTGTCCAGTTGAGGGAGAAATTGGATGGTCGTAGTAATGTAGAGGAGTATGATAATGGCTACCATGGCTCGTCCGACGGACCGAGATTTGCTGATAACTGTGAGGGAGTCGCCGTTGGGTATATTGAGAATACAGCTCATACTCGACCCAACTCACATATATTCCACAACGTGAAGAAGAAAATGCCGGTATATATGCCTATGACGCATAGCCACGATTAGCAGAGCCAAGTACCAACAGCTTGAAATACACATCCACCATGCAATAGAGCGAGTTCCATTGTTTCGGTTAAAACTCTCATCTGAGGAAGATATATCCCACGGACTTTAAGGACATCTGGATGAAGGTATGAGTAAACAAAAATATCGTTTATGGGTGCAAACACGTACATATCATTATATATAGAGCATTTCCCCTGTCAAAGTTTCATCAAGGAATCAAACAAGAACACCTCCAAAGAGATCATATTGCCCTGTATATGTCAATTGATATCTTTGAAACACAGCCATGGACGATTGAATGGCATATGTCGGTGTATGTGTGGCTCACAGCGAAAATTTCCTTGGAAACACGATCCCAATTGAGTACGGACAGATGTAGAAGCAACCGATGGAAAGAGTTGAATCATACTGACAAGCGATTCACAATGAACAGCCGCCCATGTCCATATTGTGATTGATCAATCAGGCTAGAAAATGGCCGGCACACACCTGTTCTTCGTAGGGATGACAAGGTAACTTCCAACCACCGTTCAGGATAGACTATTCAAGTAGAAAGGAGAGATATGAGTTCGATAATGTCAACCTCTGTGTGTGAGTCCCTGAAGCGACGTTGAATTAGATGGACGTCTCACGCACGTTCGAAGTTGTAGACTATTAATAAGATGGTGGACAAGGCAGCCAAGGAGTACCACCGTACGAGATGATCACCGAAGGACAAAAAAATCTTCGAGGGTTCGAAGATTTTCAACAAAATTGATATGATCGAGATCTCTAGGGCTGGATCAGTATCAAACACCGTGTGCTATAGATGCCATAGATACACTTTGTAAGTACCAGATTTTCCCCGCGACTTTACTTTTCCCCACGCGGTTGTGATCGTGAACATAGCCTTCGATACTTTCTGAAGGCATCGATCCCGGTGTTCTTTATCATGTTATTGGCTGGCACTGATAACAAGAAGGCGGAGTTAGATGGATGCAAAGAAACGTACGGCTATCAAACTGATCTGTTATTCAGCACGACGAGAAAGATCAATGCGTGTAAGTATTCGGACTCGAGCCATATCATGGAGCGGAATAGCATTGGGAGCAGAGAGTAAGCCTGATTCGATAATACCAGCGACGCCGAAATGACAAGTAAACTTCACCAAATTTATTCTGGTATCCATCGACGTCGGTTCGTTGTTGACGCATTGATGCTCCGCTTCGGACCATTGGTATTTACGCCCACGAGGACCCAGAAAGAAACAGAGTCGTGTCAAATTTCATATCTAAGCATAAGAGGTGACACTGCCAGGCAAGAAATCAAAATTCGATTCTCGGATGATGACTGTTCGATGTTGACGAAGGATCTGGCCAAAAAAGGAAGTCACCCGGCGGCCCCTCCGATCGCTCTTGCTTTCGTACACCATGGCCCGTCGTGCGTTCGTCGTGATTGAGCACCAAACAACAGTGTTGGGATTTGGCAATCCGGCATCATGCCGAGTTCGCTTATTAAGGTAGAAGTCTGAGGAAAAGCGTGGAAAGTTCTAGTAAAAGTACATTTAGTATAAAAGTAGGTACTTTAGAGTAGATCCTCATGCGTTTGCAGAGCTCAGCCAAGCGCAATACTATTGGCTTGCTACCGCACATGTGACACTGGGAACGAACCGATACCCCGTTTTCCAACAAACAGCACCGAAGAACGTGGAGAACAGTCAGCTAGGTAATGAAACTCAAGACGATATAATTTCGACAACCATCAACTTATCTTTTTTGACTCAGGTTGTGTTCGATTAAGCTTTGATGTTATTATTAAGAGTGTGTCGCTCTCCGAAGTATCATTTTGGGAGTAAGCATGTGCGCCCCACTTGGACAGAATGAAGGGACGAAGATTCAACAAGGGCTTCAACGATATGGAAATCAAAGATTTCAAGTCCACCATCCGCTCCATTATTT